AGCAAGAGCCTCCATTAGAGAGTGGATTAGCCGAGCTCCAGAGCCGGTGAACCACTATATTCCTACTATGCAAATTCCCCTATCTCCTAAGAAACACTTCATCACTGTCATTATGAAGTTGGTAGCCTAGATTCACCTTAGGTCCCACACACTCTGGTCACCCATGTTAGTCTGCACCATCAAAGGTGTAAGTTATAACTTCAAAGAACATGATCGGTCATGAAATGTTGGGATCGATATTGTGTTTTTCATGGTAAACCATGGGTGTGTGTGATCGATTATGACCTCTTTTGAGCAATTGTAACTTTTTCTTTCAAAGTTGTAGCTTTATCCTACAAAGTAGTAACTACTCGTAACGGTATCAAAAAAAAATTTTTTGGCACCCTAGAGTCAGAGTAAATAAAAATAGATTGAGTTGTCTGTTGACTCATACATTTTCTTGGCAACCTATGAAACACAGATATTTCGATCGGGGTGATGTATATATATCTGACACGTATTAAATATCAATATTCGTCGGATACTTGCGAATATGTATTAGATGCTTTCCACACGTATTAAGTAATTAATAAAATATTTATCATTATTAGATATTTATCGGATATACCTCAGATACGTGTATCTGGACGGTGAATACATTCTCCTTATACTGAGTGAGGTGGCTTGGGTAGAAACGGGAGTTACACAAATGTGTTTTCCTTATTCCAAGATGTTCATTTGAATGTGCACCACATGTTTCACAAGAATTTATTAATTCTTTAAATTTATTTAGCATGAATAATGAGTTTTTATTGCTTATATGACAACCAATGAAGTCTATTCCAATTAAATGTTAAATAAAAATTGAAAACTCTCGAAAGGTTACACATGTTCAATTTTAGAATTACATAAAATATTGAATTTTGAACATCATTAAGCTGCATGTGTCAACAAAATAAATTATTTTAATTTGAGACGTGCTTTATGTTGTAATCCCTTGTATCCCCAGTATTATAATAACATCCTTATATATAGACACATGTATATCATACTTGTTTTACATGTAACGTGATTTATATAAAATACTGCAAAGTCACATTACAAAGCCTAGTTTATATTACTCATACATTGTTTTGCTACACTATATTGATATACTTTAAATTTGTGTAATTCTTAAACCATAGTTTCTATTAAACATACATTGTATTGATACACTTTATATTTTTGTAAATATATTATAATCATATAATTCTTGAACACTTTTTTCTATTGGTGATTGTAGTTGATTTTTTGTTGGGGGTAAATCACATGTATTTAATATTATAATTGTAGATGTACAAAAATTAGACATTTATTTTTATAAACTCTTTAGTGTCGAACTATATTGATACACTTTTAAATTATAACTTTATATGAATTCAAATAATAAAGTAATTTTATGTACCCCTTGTAATTATGAGTTGAACAAATTCATAGCATTTGTTAGTCCCGAAAAAACTACCACAAAAATAACATACAGAAGAAGAAGTCAAACAACAATCATTATTGTAATGTTTAGTATTTAAAAATAAAATTGTAAAAAGAAAAAATCATAAAATACAAAAATATTAAAATTAACAAATAATTATTTGAAAGATGAAAAGTTAAATAAAAAAGTGATCACTTAACACAAGTAGAAATGAATAAGAAAACTGTGAAAAAAAAAACTCCCAAAACTAACTAGCAGATTATGAAATGAAAAAAATAAAAACATAAAAGAAAACTGTGAAGAAAAAAAAAACTCCCAAAACTAACTAGCAGACTATGAAATGAAAAAAATAAAAAAATAATAGAAAACATAAGTTGTAGAAGAAAAAATATGATACGTTTGGGTATTTCCGTGTTTGTCGGAGAATAATAAGAATGATAGGTTCGAAGTTTTACAAACTTTAATGACTGATAATTTGGAAAAGAAGAGGAGAGAGATATTTATTGGCAACGATAATGAAAAAAAAATTAAAATTCAACATGGCAGAGATATACACAATCAACTTTAAATGTAAATCTTGTGATAATATAATTTTTACATTATATTAAGAAATCTTTAATACAATAAAATAAAATTAAAAATCTAATTAACTTCGAAAAAATATGCATGATTTAAGAGGGGACAAATATGTTAAAGAGAGGACAAATATGTTAAAAAAAATCACAAAAAGTCAAATTGTGTACTTGACCACAATTAAATTCTAAAAATAAGGACTTAATGTCCTAAGATTAATAGATATATACTTTTTGACAAATAACTCTAATTTCGTATACTTTTTAATAATTTTTCCATTTTATAAAAACTTAAGCTCAACAAAAAAGTTAAAGTTTAGGTCTAATCCAAAAAAATTTAATTGGATAATTTGGGCCTATCTCTCTAGCTCTTGACACCCACAAAACCATAAAAAAAATATTTTAAAAAAATAAAAGTCTATATCTTTTTCACACTTTTGAATATTTTTATCCCAACCACTCTCTCTCTCTCTCCCCTTCTCTCTCTGTGGCTAACAATATACCTTTGTTTGTTGATTACTTGATTTCATACAGCACAAAAGTTGCAGTCTATTGGCATTATCAGTAATCGAATTATGCTACGGTGATAATCGAATAGCTAAGGTGATATTGGCGCATATCTACGGTGATAATTGAATTTTATAGGAAAATCAGAAATAACAACAAATTAGGTCCTATAGTTCTATCATCAACTAAAATTAAAATTAACTTCAGGTCCTATTGCTCTATTATTTTTAAAATTAAAATTAATAAAATCTTATCCAAGATCAACTATGTCACAAAAAAGATTAAGTAGATTAGTCATATTATCAATTAAAAAAGATATGACAGCGAAACTTAAATATAAAACTTAATTAGTACTTTTGTATCTCAAAAAATGGAAAGAATAAATATTGACATGAATAAAAGTGAAGTATTAATATTAAATAAAGTATTAATATTAAAAATAAAAATGATAGTGAGAACATTGACATGAATGTCTTGTGTCATAGTGTTTTTAAGAACTGTACGTATCAGTTCTCTGGGTGACCCTTATTGGCGAATGCGCATGGTTCAATTTCGTTGTAGTGTAGCTACTATTTCATTATAGACAATTTTCATAAGCTGTTCAAATGTAGCAATATGTAACTCTTCATCTAGGTTATTAAATGTCTTGATGTAACCTTTTTCTGGTCTAACATTCCAGCAATAAATCTTGTCTTTAGTTCAAAAAAAAAAAAAAACCCATGGTGATATTAAATTTGTCCAGCAAAATGATGCCCGAGTTTAAAGACAGTGGGCAACAGCCATGGTTGAGTCATATGAAGATGGATAACAGAATGCAAACGCGAGTGAAGCAAAAGGAAGAGAAGAAAGACAAATAAATGCCAAAAAGAGGCTAACATAGCTCCGAGGAAGTTTGAATCCATACCGATTGGTTTAATAGTTGAACAAGAGAAAATATATAAGCATTACCATCCTAAAGTTCGAATTCCTTTGATCGCATGGTACCCATGTATAACCAATGCATATAAATTGTTGGTGATTGTAGACTTTCAAGATGTACTTTACAAAAAACAATAAAGGAACATTCCTACTGTTAAAAAAAAAACGCTGCAATGAAAATAATTATTTACTTGAACTTCACACGATAAAAAATTAGGAAAATAATTAAATCTAATTTAAATGTTTTCAACATATTTAGTGAAAGTAATTCTCAGACAAAGGTTGAATGCAGAATAAGGAATGGACTACTAATTAAGTCTGTGATAAACTTGAAAAGGATTACTGCAGGCCTTTTGAATATGGTGGGTCGATCTGGAGATATTAGACGTTTTGGCTTCCCGTGGTACGCCGTGATGTTTAGATACAAAAAATTGCATGTTTCTTCTCGTGTGTTTATTAGAGAAAAAAGAACTGATTAAAAAATATTACAAAGAGATAGAGAGAAGGCCTACAACAGTCTTGGCAGGCTTGACTTGCCATTCCATTGAATCCATTCGGTCAGGCTAAGGCAATGCCGACGTCGGGGAGGAATTCAATCTTCTTGGTCGTATAATATCCAAGTTTTATAATACATATAGTTTGTCGGTGATTGACGTTCTAAGGTTTATTTTACGAAAAACAGGAAAGGAATGATTTCTATTATACTAAAGGCTGCAATTACTTGTCATCAAAGACATCAAATTTATCAAGCACCATAGCATAAAAAACTAGACATCAAATTTATCAAGCACACAAGTATTGTATCCACCTAAATCAAATCTTCAATTTAAACTCACACCCACAGTAAACCTTAATTTAGCAGTAACAGTAAATGGTTAATCACACCTAAATATCACAATCAAGTGATCCGTGTTGTAAACGTACATTGACATTTACATAGCTCGATAGAAATTCTACCACGTCCAAGTACAGCTCAATTCACTATATGAAAATTTCTAATTCTGATCAATCACTTAAATCTAATCTCAATAGGAGAGATGTATCCCGACATGGTAAGACTCATATGCTAGATATATATTGAAAGCCCCAGTTATACTTATACCACTTTAACCTATTGTTCGACTCTGATAAAACTTATCGGTAGATATCGTTAATGATTAGTAGGTGTTGCTCCACTTGGCTCTGCAATCTAGTCTATTGTCTTTGGGGCCTAGTGAATATAGACCATCCACTATTTCTGTAAATCCACGTCATCATTATTCCTTATTTCAAATTCTTAAAACAAAATAAGAAAACTAGATAGAAAACAAGCAGCAATATTCAAAGTAGGAAAAAAAAAATAGTAAAAGCAAAGATAGCAAAGAGAGGATTTGTCAAGGGAACTGGTAGGGAAATTTGCTTCCTATAAAGAAATAAAAATAAACATCAAAATTTAATTATATTGGTAGTGTTTGAATGATATTGGTCGAAAACATTGTATCAAATTAATTACAAGACTTGGGTTAATCCTATGAAAATCCTTGCTAACTTAATAAAATTTAATCTTTGCTGTCACTCTAGAAATATTTCATAACTTCATCCATGCTCAATTCCAAAACATCAGCAATAACATCAATCACTGAATATGTAGGAAAATCTTGATAACAATCCTCCTCGACCTCCGATTCATCGGTACCAAACCCGAGAATTTTTAACCCAAAATCCTCCTCATCAAGATCCTCAATCCAACCAGTGATTTTTGGAGCATTTATATTCATACCAAAGGGATCAGAGGGCAGTAAATCAAGGATATCATCAGACACATGTTCAGTTTTATCCTCTTGGTGAGCATTTATATTCATACCAAAGGGATCAGAGGGCAGTAAATCAAGGATATCATCAGAGACATGTTCAGTTGTATCCTCTTGGCGACCATTTATATTCATACCAACGGGATCAGAGGGCAGTAAATCAAGGACATCATCAGACACATGTTCAGTTTTATCCTCTTGGTGATCAACTGTTTCAAACAGATTAATATAAACCCAGGAATCGCAATACCCAGTTGTTGTCGTCTCCGAGATCAGGTCACTCTGCTCTGAATTGGAACAGACAGAAGCATTCGAATCCAGATTCAATCCTGCAAGTAGTTGAACGTCTTCTTCACTGACCTCTGATTCATCAGTCCCAAACCCAAGAATGTCAAACCCAAAATCCTCCTTAAGATCCTCATTCCAACCGGTGTTCGCTGCGACCGGACTTAGATTCATTCCAAAGGGATCAGAAGGCAGTAGATCAAGAATATCATCCGATGGCTTTTCTGTTTTCGCCACATCAACCATCTTGGTCGCAAAAGATTTTATAATATTCCAACCGGTGTTCGCTGCGACCGGACTTAGATTCATTCCAAAGGGATCAGAAGGCAGTAGATCAAGAATATCATCCGATGGCTTTTCGGTTTTCGCCACATCAACCATCTTGGTCGCAAAAGATTTTATAATATTCCAACCGGTGTTCGCTGCGACCGGACTTAGATTCATTCCAAAGGGATCAGAAGGCAGTAGATCAAGAATATCATCCGATGGCTTTTCGGTTTTCGCCACATCAACCATCTTGGTCGCAAAAGATTTTATAATATTCCAACCGGTGTTCGCTGCGACCGGACTTAGATTCATTCCAAAGGGATCAGAAGGCAGTAGATCAAGAATATCATCCGATGGCTTTTCGGTTTTCGCCACATCAACCATCTTGGTCGCAAAAGATTTTATAATATTCCAACCGGTGTTCGCTGCGACCGGACTTAGATTCATTCCAAAGGGATCAGAAGGCAGTAGATCAAGAATATCATCCGATGGCTTTTCGGTTTTCGCCCCATCAACCATCTTGGTCGCAAAAGATTGTATAATGTGAAAGATCGAAAGAACACTCGAAGAACCAAATAAGAACAATGTTCAGCAAAAACCCGAAACGAAACATAGAATAGCAGAGCTTCCAATGAAAAATGCAGAGCTTTTCTATGGAGTTTGAGAGAAGTTTAGGACGAAAAAAGAGATGGGTTGAAGGAGAACAGACTTGGTATTGAAGAAAGAGAAAGAATTGGATGAATGAAGAGTGGTAAACGTAGAAACACATGGTTTTTGGTGATCTATATATATGAGTATATATGGGAGTGTAAGAGATGGACTGTAACTGGGACAAGTGCTGGCCAAAGAACACTTGAATTAGGATTTTGAGAGAAACCCTCAAGCAGGAAAGGCGGTGATGATGAAGATAGGACAAATTTCACCAAAATCTGATAGAAGAAGAAAAATCCAGAGTGTGGTGTTTCGCAGAAATATGAGTGTAGAGAGAGAGAGATGAAGTGGAACTGGGAGACATTAGAGGCCTAAGTACATTCGAACTGGGACTTGGAAAGAAAGTAACTCGCAAATAGAAGACTGGTGTGAGAGAATACCGGATAGCAGAAGAGAAATAAAGAGAGAGTGATGGACCGTAACTGGGAGACATAGACGCCTAAGAACATTCGAACTAGGATTTGGAAAATAACTTTGCAATTTGCTAGGAAACGGAGTTTGTATTAATGAATTTGAAAGTCAATTTAAATAAAATCTGATCCTGGAAGAGAACTCGAGAGTTTGAACCATAGCAGATTTAACCACGTCTATCTTTTTCTTTAGGATTAATTGCACTAGAAATCCCAAAAATATAAAATTTATTTTATTTTAGTCTCCAATGTTTCAATTGTATTATTTTGGTCTTTAAAATATTGAATATATTTCTATATGGTTCTTCAAGCATATAGCGTCTCGATTGCTAACGATTTTTTATCATAAACTTGTCACATAATACTTAAATAAAGACAAAAAATTAATTTTAATAGCTCTTAAATAAAATTTGGGTAGTTCTTGACAAAAAAATATATAATATGGGTAATTTTTAACTAAAATTTGGATAGCTTATGATCAAAACTGTGTAATTTAGATAACTATTTAACAAAATTTGAGTAGAAATTTGGTCAAGAGTTATCCAAATTATTTTTTTTGTCCATATTTGAGTATTACGTGAGAAGTTTATGATAAAAAATCGTTAGCAATTTGAACATTGTCTACTTAAGGGACCATATAGAAACATATTTAATACTTCATGGACCAAAAATTATGCAATTGAAATATTGAGAACTAAAATGAGACAAACTCTATTTTGGAGACTTCTAATGCAATTAACCCTTTTCTTTAACAATATTTAACATCTTAAATTTACTTATTCTAATTATTTCACACTTGCATATTTTTCTTTTTCTTCTATTTGCACATGGGTATCGTGTGTGTATGATCATAGCATTTAATAAATTTTAAACTTTTTTGAATGCCGGTACGTAGGCCCAATAAAATTACAAAAAAAAAAAAAAAACCTTATTTGCCAATTTGTTTTTGGATTAGCTCCCTATTCAAAAATCAAAGCAATGACTATAACAAACATCCTTTAAAATTGTAAAAAATAACGAAAATGTTACCAGGTAACTAAAACATCTATTCTAAAAACTTATGTCATCATAATATACCTTCTTCTTCAAAAATACAGATTGTCAAACATGTACACTAAAAAAAATGACATGTGCTTGATTAACGTACTGATTAATTGGTGGTTCGCATATACATTAAGATACATTTACTAATAGCGACTGTATATGTATATCTAGAACAGATACACTGAGATTAGACGTCTAGACAAACGTTTCTTCGATTAACTATCCAATTAACATCGGAATGAACATATATTTAAATTTCTTCATCTACCCCATGGAAATACCTCTACAAATAACGTATCAAAAAACCAGAACAGAAACACAGAAAAATAATGGATCAGTCAAGGAAGCCAAAAACACAGAGTAACATAAAAATGCTTACAGATTTCTTGGACGNAAAATTAATTTTAATAGCTCTTAAATAAAATTTGGGTAGTTCTTGACAAAAAAATATATAATATGGGTAATTTTTAACTAAAATTTGGATAGCTTATGATCAAAACTGTGTAATTTAGATAACTATTTAACAAAATTTGAGTAGAAATTTGGTCAAGAGTTATCCAAATTATTTTTTTTGTCCATATTTGAGTATTACGTGAGAAGTTTATGATAAAAAATCGTTAGCAATTTGAACATTGTCTACTTAAGGGACCATATAGAAACATATTTAATACTTCATGGACCAAAAATTATGCAATTGAAATATTGAGAACTAAAATGAGACAAACTCTATTTTGGAGACTTCTAATGCAATTAACCCTTTTCTTTAACAATATTTAACATCTTAAATTTACTTATTCTAATTATTTCACACTTGCATATTTTTCTTTTTCTTCTATTTGCACATGGGTATCGTGTGTGTATGATCATAGCATTTAATAAATTTTAAACTTTTTTGAATGCCGGTACGTAGGCCCAATAAAATTACAAAAAAAAAAAAAAAACCTTATTTGCCAATTTGTTTTTGGATTAGCTCCCTATTCAAAAATCAAAGCAATGACTATAACAAACATCCTTTAAAATTGTAAAAAATAACGAAAATGTTACCAGGTAACTAAAACATCTATTCTAAAAACTTATGTCATCATAATATACCTTCTTCTTCAAAAATACAGATTGTCAAACATGTACACTAAAAAAAATGACATGTGCTTGATTAACGTACTGATTAATTGGTGGTTCGCATATACATTAAGATACATTTACTAATAGCGACTGTATATGTATATCTAGAACAGATACACTGAGATTAGACGTCTAGACAAACGTTTCTTCGATTAACTATCCAATTAACATCGGAATGAACATATATTTAAATTTCTTCATCTACCCCATGGAAATACCTCTACAAATAACGTATCAAAAAACCAGAACAGAAACACAGAAAAATAATGGATCAGTCAAGGAAGCCAAAAACACAGAGTAACATAAAAATGCTTACAGATTTCTTGGACGAAGCACACGCCAAACAAGATCGCATGCAAGAAGAAATCAACAATATGGAATCCAAACTGTACATATCCAATAGAAAACGAGACGAGTGAAAGAAAACGACGAAAAAATTCAACAGAAAGCTGCAAAAGGAGAGGAAGAAGACCAAAAAACTTAAGGCAGAGTTGAAGGACCTCAAAAAATGATCTTCTTTTGTATTTTTTTTTAAATTTTAAAAAAATGATCCACATTTATAATCTCCCTTTATATATGAAATATAATATTTAGTTTTTTATGTATGAGCACCCTATGATATCATTTTGTGTACACCTGTAAAGACATGTGTTGATTGTGTATCTGTTCAGTTTTTAAGACATGCTACGTACATCAAAGGTGGTGTTTAAAACCCACGCCACGGTTACTACATTTGAAATTCAAAAAATACGTGCGTAAATGATGGAAATTCCATCCAAAAATCCATTAACGTTCAAATACAAAAAAAACACCAAAAAACCTCCTCACACTTTTTTTCATTCAACACTAAAGATATTGTGTACATTTGAAAACCCCTCAGTCATATAGGTACCGTCTCAAAATCCTATCGCATATAGATACATTGTGAATGTACCTACGCATTACCACAGTCCATTATGTCTTCGCTTCAATTTTTTGTGAACTAAAATAGGGTTTCATGCAATAAAATTCAATCTGTACTTGGTGCTGACATCTTTTTATTTTTTTCTGGATTTTGTAATGTACTTGTGTTAATGAATGTAACTATAGATAACTTCCCCTTCATTTTCATCAAAGATTACTCGCATGTACCTGTAGCTTAAAATTATTGTACCTATGTTATGTACCTGAACAATAACCCAAATTAAAAACATTTTTCATGTAAAATAGGGTTTTATTGAAATAAAATTCAAAAAAAAAATTATTTTTGCTCTGCCTTTTGTAATGTACTTATAATAGAAACATGAATAACACTGTAGGTAGCTTCTCTCTCATTTTGTTCAAATGTTATTCGCATATACCTGTGGATAAAATTTATAGTGTCTATGCTATATACCTGAACAGTAAACCAAAATTAGAATCATATGATCCTGCTTTGAACCGTGTACCTGTATAATGTACTTGTCATTACTAGTGTCTTTTATTGTGCAACTAATCTTGTGATTATTTTGTTACGATTATGTTTGAGAATTATATGTGAATGTCAGATGTATTAGTTACATCCTCTAAAACAATTTGAAAATTATACAGATTAAACCATGTCGTCAAAAAGAGCACCAAAGAAGACTTTGACCTAACAGTTTAGGTCCAATTTAATGCTTTCATCAATATGATGAAAGAAATTAAACCTATGATAACCATAAACATTTGTATTTGATAAAACCAACACCATTTTGGGATTTGTTTGAATCATGCTACAACGAATTGGTATTAGAAAGTTTTACAAGAAGTCGGATGATCAAGAGTCACATTTGGAGAGCCTAAGAAAGACTTTCTAGAGGATGAGAATGCATAAGTTATAAAACAATCATTTGAAATTGGTATTTAGTGTTTCTGTTGGCAATTTCTTAGAATTTCTAGTCCATCAAAGAGGAATTGAAGTGGACAAAAGCAAAGTCAGGGCCATTTTAGAAGCCCAAGTGCCAACTAATAAGAAGTAATTGCAGAGGCTTTTCGGCCAAGAAAACTTCCTAAGAAAGTTCATCTCTAACCTTGCATGGAAGACAGTGGTTTTTTTACCTTTGTTAAAACTTAAATTAGAAGTTGGTTTCAAATGGGAAGAAGTGCACCATAAGACTTTTGAGAAAATCAAAGATTACTTGACAAAGGCAAGCCAATAAAGCTATATATTTCATTAGGGGAAAGGTTTATTGGAATTCTACTGGCATAGCATAATGATCAAGGTCATGAACA